GCACGCCCCCTTCTTCGGTGCCGGCCCTGTCCCTCGTCGACAATCATGTCAAACTGGTTCAAAACCAACAAAGTCCATGCGCAATAATCCAGGTAAAAAATCCAATAACTTCGTATTGTTGGATTGTATACCTGGATTATTGAGCATGGACTTTGTTGCTTTCTGAAAGGTTCTCTTGCCTCTCTCCCAACAGCTTAATCCAAAGTGGGGAAAAAAAAAAACAGTTATGTTGGTGCTAAGATGGTCCCTGGGGCACACTCTCTTTTCCAGTGCCCGCCCTCTCCCTCGTTGACAGTCATGTCACACTGGTTCAAAACACCAAAGTCTATGCTCTGTAATCCAGGTATAAAATGCAACAGTTTTCAGTCAGGTCATCTGGACAATTTCTTTTTTTGTGCGGAGAAGTTTCGCTCTCCATCCAGAAGGCTTCATCATTGACTGAAAATTGTTGGATTTTACACCTTGATTATTGAGCATGGACTTTGGTGGATAATATTGGTTGTTTTCATTTGCTCCACTTTAATGGCCTTCTTCCAAACGTCACATACCCCAAAAGTCACTCTATGCCATATGTGTCAAACTCAAGGCCCGAGGGCCAGATGTGGCCCTCGTTGACATCTTATCTGGCCTCCAAGATGATATGTGAAATGTAAAATACTTGTATCTCTAGATTTTTTTCAGTAATCTTTGATTATGATGTTGAAACCACAACAGAAAGCATCAAATGAGACCAATCAAACTCTTGTTGAGGAACCTGAGACCAAGAAAAGATGTTGGGCATCTGATTTGAGTTAATGTCGTTTCTGAAATTGGCCCTTAGTTTGAAAAAAGTTTTAATTTTGCCCCCCTTTGTACGTGAGTAGGACACCCCTGCTGCTGTCCCCCACAATTACAACACTTATCTTGAGCATTGTCACCACACTCCTCATATCTATGATCACCCCCACATCTTGGACACCTTTGCCGCGCCTTACACACTGTTGTTATATGAGAGTCAGAGATTCTTTATTGTCATTCGCACCCCATGTGGTACATGTGGTGGAGAGAAATTATGTTCACAGGGTCCCAGTCACATCCAACAATAAAATGTAAAAGAAAAACAGTAATAACATCTAAGATATGAACTAAGAAAATATATATATACATATACATACATACATACATACATACATATACATATATATATATATATATATATATATATATATATATATATA